GAAACAGGCTGAACAGGGCACACTTTCTCAACAAAGTTATAGTACCGCCTTTTAGAGTATCGGAAATCGTGGGTTGCTCTTAATTGTTTTTCAGAGGTGGGCACCAATTGTTCAATTGCTTAATTGATTTCGATTACTGCTTTGTGTGGGGGACCCGGGAGTGTTACGAAAGCCCTGAGCCATATATTAGTTTTATCGATTCAGATCAATCAGGTATGAGTCGCCCTAATGCTTACAACATTTCTACCTGGCCCTTGGGCTTTTCGTGGTAATCTTATCAGAGTCCAAAATGGACAATCGGAGCCGCTGCTCTGCTTGCGTAATTTGTCCATGTTGCAACGAAAAGGGGCTGCGACGGCTCCCAAGAACAACCCTCTCGAAGATGGTCTACAAATTTGCATTCAATCGAAACAGAAAGAAGGGAATAATCAAGAAAACAAATCTCAGACAGCTGCGCATGCCTAGAACAGAGATAGACATATTTAAATCAAAGAGGCAGAGAGAGTGAGAGAGATCTCACCTTGGAAATGCTACCGGTTTCGAACAGCTGTGTACGAAGAGAGTGCGTGTCGAGGGAGAGGGAGCGGTGGCCAGAGCGAGAGAGTGATAAGAAACCGAAACAGAAACAATAAGAAAATCCACCACCAACTACTGCAACAACAACACGATAAAACCAGCAGCGGGAGCGGCAGGGCGACAAAGCGAACAATGCGCTGCATTATGCGAAACGTATGTACAAACGTATGCGTTATGATTAAACAAACAACATGAGCGCTGGCAGGGGTGAGAGATAGAGAGAGAGCGAGAGCGAGCGAAGAAGAGAGCAGCAGCTGCTGATAGTGTGAGCGCACCCCAAGGTGTATTTATATAAGGTGAGGCCGCAATATTTGCGACCTGACAGGGTATGGTGTGATCTATCTCAGAATAAACAATTTGAGCGTCAGGCATGTGGCTGTGAGAAAAAGAAATAGGGATGACTGAACGCCGTACCTTTTCAAAATATACCCTGCACCCAGGTAATGTCGACTGCGAGTGCGCGAAGCCGCCCGTATTCGAATCCGAGACGCCGCATTCGACTTGAAACATTCAAACAACGCAGATCGTCGCGAGTTTTCCGTTTCTTCTCTTTTTCGTTCGCGTTTTCGTGTTTACCGTTTGTGCAGTGTAGAACTATTTAAGCTTCTTGTTGGGTGACAGCTAATGTGACAACAACAGCCCCCACCTGACATACTCCCCTGCCCCTGAGTACGCGAGTGTTTGGTGACCAAATCTAATCAAATGACACGTGCTTGAAATATCAAATTTACTATCTATCCCGCATAGGGGCGACAACAACGAGGAGCAGCAATTAAACGGGGATTACCCGGCACTGTTTATCGAATATTAAAATAACAAGAAAACGGTAAGTCGTAGCCGCCATAAAATCGAATAAGGAATGTGCGGAAACAGAGAAAAACACATGCATAAACATCCACAACGGTTTATGGCCCCCCTAGTGACCCCATTCTGCCCTTATCAATAAACTCATATATTTAATACAATTTCGCATACGCCCCTTGTAATTAAAGACATCAACGCCCCCCCCCATCATAACCCTGATAGACTACAGTGAAAGCGCTCTTGGTTGGACCTATCGGCCCTGAGGATGTGTTTGTTAAATGTGATTCTTACTAAAGTGTAACTCCTGTACACTGTCGTTGTCCACCAAGAGGGCTTACTCTTTAATGTGGCGCTTACGCTTTGTTTTGTGAGATTTGAGGGGAGTTCTTTCGGATCAGAGCTGCGTTTATGACTCAGGAGCGTCCAAGCGTCGTCAACAAGCCACATTATATCTTGTCGTTGTTTTTGTTGTGTCTCGGAATGTTCTTCATAACGTAGATCCCCAGATGAGTCATCAATGAGCTTTGTGGGGTGTGCGCGCATTGGGCACTGGGTTACCTCTAGTGGATAAAGTTGTTGGATATAGCAATTGGGTTGGGGGTAGCCTGTAGAGAAAGAAGGTGACTGATCTCCGCCCGTGTATGGGGGGCGGCAGCTGTGAAGTGACTAAGCACAGGCATTAGATAATATTAATTGGCTTATGTAAGGGAACAAAAGGTGTTTTGCAATAAGCATATGGGAGTGGCAGCAGTCAACCAGACTCACGGCAAAGGAATTTCACAGGAATGACCTACTAGGAATATTAAAACTGGGATAAATGCGAATTGAATCGTCTATACCAACTTCAGATTAAATGCTATTCAGTTTATTGACCAGGCAGGCTTTCGATTAGAGACCACTTTGCGACCGTTTCGCGGTTTCAATTGAGCGTCCGCCAATGGCTCCATTAGAGTGTTAAATACTAGACATTAGAGTGGCCCCAGGGCACGCACTGCTCCATCCAGACGGCAGGCGGGCGGGCAGGCACAGGCACTGAACACAGGCCGAGGTGTTATTAAGGCCTTACTACACGCCCCGCTCGCAGAGAGATTCCAGCTACATGCACATAAACCAGTCTAAAGTCAGTCACCTGTTGCCGTTCCCCTTCCAGCCACTACACTCCACTCCACTCCACTCTCCACTCTCCACTCAGATCGATATCAATGACAATTGGTGCCGACAACAGCATTAGTGCTGTTGCTACCGTTAGATGGGGAAATGCCAAACCAATGATGATTGTCTAATTGAATGGGATTAATGTTTAATTTAGCTTACTTTATTGATTTTCCATTGAAAAGCAATGAAATGAAATGCCAGGCCGAAATGCCGCCGCCACCGCCGTAAATGGGGAGCGAACTTTCAGGTGGACTGTGGTAGAAAAATGATACTGGGGTGGGAGGTTTTAGGTGGTATGAATTGAGCGGAATATTGTTGCAATTGCAATTCGAGCTTTGTGCTCCCCACTCGATTGTGTAACAAAGGCACAGTTCTATTTAACAGCCATTTGTCAATTGTTTTATGGTTAGTGTAGCCCCTATAATTGCTATTTTTTTCGCTGATTCTTTTATGCACTCATCTGACTCATTCCTGCAGCTACTACAATTTTTACATAATTAAACGAATGCTTAAACTCTGATTTATTATTTAATTGTTTGCCACTCGAACGACAACAATTAATTATGCAATAACAAAAAACAAAAAACAAAACAAAAATAAAAACAGCAATGCACGAACAAATAAATAATAATTTCAATATAATCAATGCAACAGCTGCCCCAGCAAAGACGGGGTAGGGTAATATCAGGAGGTGGTACAGCAATTAAAATGTATTTTGCTTATTTTGCACTTATTCCATTTTAATTTGTCATTTAAATGTCAAAACTATTAAAATGATTATGGCCCAATGGCGGATTAATCAATGAACACTTTGGTTTTGGTTTTCCATTCAATTGCGATATGGTTTGGCTTTAATATTTCGATATTTCGGTTAATTAAGCTGGTGGCGGCTATAAATAAAGACAGGTCTCCCCCACCATTCCCAACAAGTGCCGCCTCAGACACGTGGTGTGCAATTCAATCATAGTCCTCCACCTTCTGTCCTGAATGCATATCAACTTAATTATTCTTATTAACAATTGCAGTTCACATTTTTTTCAGTTTTACTATACAATTAAGAATATATTCCAATGAGAGGGGCTATTGGCAGGGATTAAAACATTTTCAACGAGGCAGAACTCAAATTTATTATTCCATTTAATTTCCCCTCCACTCTGCCTTCCGCTCGTATGCTCTTTTGTAGACTTTAGGTCTTCTCCTTATCAGTTGACAATAATTATGACTTTATGTAATATAAAAACTATCAATCTGGCTAGAGTATCCAACGTTTCTTTGTTGTTTTTTCAGTCATTTTTCTTTTCTGCCCCTTTTTTGAATGGATATCAAATATGGGAAAAGTTCCGTTCATTGTGATTGTGCCTTCTGTCACTGTCGTCGCTGTTGTTGTCCCTGTCATTGTGCTATTCTGTTCTGTGCAGGGCATAAATTATGAACCTCCCCCCCCTCCTCTCGTTCTCCATGGGCCCGTTTCACCTTAAAGTATTAATTGGCGAATAAATTTGAAATTCGTTTGGGCCGAAACTTGCTGGCTAACATCTCCATTTGTTATGTTGTTATGTATTTGCATATGAATTCTGTTTTGCCTTTTGTTCTTAATTAATAAAAAGCAATCACATTGATGGGCCTTTGGGCACGGTATTTAAAATGAAATAATCCACATTTTCGATTTTGTAAGCACTAAATGTACATCAATTTGTACACTATTAAACACACGTCCAATTAAAATCAATTTGGGAGTCGTGCTGTAACGAGCGTTTTCCCTGGAACCGGATTGCCGGCTAAACAATTTTAATGCCATCTCCTCGCCTTGGCCTCTAATGAGCACCGTATATTTGAATTACTCATGGCTGGTGGCCATAAATATCGATTAAGGGGCGGTTTTTAATCAGGGACGGGGCGTGCTAATGAGCCGACCGGCGCCCACACCCCCAAAAAGTGGCCAGACATCCATGGTGGAGGAGTCGGTGGCGAGGGTCAGTTACTTGGCGGGCTTCAGTCTTGCGGTAGCTCTAATCTAATTGGATTATTTCGCCGCTGGCTAGGAGGTGCTCTGATTAGATTTTCGCATTTCGTTTGGTCGTAGAGCAATCATTTTTCAAAATTAAATTACCTTTGTTCTAGTGTCTTTTTACACGCGCTCGAAAACATTCTACATGTATTATACACGTAGCGTAATGCTAGAGGCCGCCACTTGTTTGCCGTTTAACAACACTTCGTGCCAACCTTTTGTTGGCCTGCTCTAGCCCATCGTGCTGCTCTGCTCTGACAACCGCAATGAGTCAGTGCGCGAATGACTAATTCAAGTGAGCCGTTTATCGCACAAAAATACCGATATACAGCAAAAAGTCGCGCGATGTGAATTTTGATAGAGCCTGTAGTGTCGATTTGCTGCGATTTCAGTATTTCACATATAACATATCACATATTATCATCAAATAATATGTATCGATATATACATCACATCCCTAACTGCGCGAACGACTTGGCCAGCTGTGGGATGCGAGAAAAAAAATATATTTTCACTTTGTTGAAAAGTTTGTGTAGCCATAAATTGATGAAATAAACTCGCGGATCGGGCGGAAGTTGCAGTGAAATTGTGAACCTATTTGCGTAATTTTTCCGGCGATCGCGAAAGTGTTCGTTGATGTGTGTTCGTGTGTATGTGCGGGAAAACGCCAAAATGCGCTGGCCGCAGCGGCTTTGAACAGGAATTTGTCGATTGCCGCACGTGACGTCATCAGAAGTCTCATCCCCACACACACACATACGCACAGAGAACTCGTTCAGATTGCTGTGTAAAATAATGAAAGCAATCTATCAACGACGACTGAAAGCGGATTTCGAAAAGGGAACTTCAACAAGAAAAACAACCACAAGAGGGCAAGGAAGAGCCACCCCAACCACAAAACACACAGAAGGAGAAGGAAAACATAACGCGCCTTGATCATCAGCAGATACACAAAGAGAGCGAGCGGAAGGAAAAGAGAGAGCGAGAGAGCCTATATTTGTACTTACTGCTGGATTTCGCTCTGTCTGTCTGTCTGACCTTTGGCAACAGCAGAGGTATCTTCCCTTCCACACCCCCTTCCCATTACTCGAGCAGTCGCTGTGTAAGTACGATAATGAATTTATGAAAAAAGCAAAGCGCTTTAATTGCAAGCTCATAACCAGAAAACTATGACCCAAGGCGAACCAACAGCAACAATCAGAGGTTAAAGCAACAGAAACAACAGCAAATATCTAACAGCTTTTCCAAGGCACTGTTAAGGTTAACAGTCTCAATTGCAGTCGCTTTTACAGCCACTGTTGAGTAGTCAAATTATTTGTACTCGTTTACTTCGGCTATTAATTAAAAAATCAGCGATGATATTAATAATTTTCTGGCTAATCTGAATTTGTGGAAACATATGTATGTATATTAGCACACACTTGCAGATACAGATAGAGAAAAATATATAGATATGTATGTATTTTTAATTCATTCACTAAATAAATGTAGAGGGGAAAAACTTTCCGTTGTTATTGAACAAAATCGAGATGAAAGGCAAATAAATATACATATAGGAGATGCTGTTGTATCCGTGCTAGCGACAATTTACCGAAAATAAACGCACACGAGCCAGCAAGTCCCCCCTAAACCAAGCCCGCCTCCACCTGCGTAACCATATTTTGGTTTCATTTTCCACTTTTCCCGAAACAAGCTGCAAATATAATGACTTTCCTATAATAAACAACTTTTGGATATATTTTTGCCATAATTGTTTGAGTTTTTAGAAAACGTTTGCCATTGATTTGTTTATTTCAATTTCGAGTGAATGTGTGTGCATGTCCGTTCGTGTCCGCCGGGTTTTGCGTGCATATGTGTGCACGTGTGTGTGGAATTCCCATGTGCAAACAATCAAAGTTATGAATTGCATATCGGTTTTATGGTTTTGGCAATGGCCGCAAAAATTGTGACTTCGCGTGATGGGAATACATTTCTCGTTTTGCACAGTTTGAGAGATATACATATGTAGCTGTAGACAGTTTTAGTAGCACTGTGTGCTAATTGATTTTAATTACAGATAAAAGAAAATATTTGCCTTGATGTTTCTGTTGCTTTTGTTGCTCATTGCATAAACAAAAGATAAGCTAAAAATTCTTGAAAGTCTGGAGCGAGTGGGAGGGAGACCGCACAACCATACAAAGCAGTGTTCAATGAGGGCGAACGTGACGATTGTTGCCTTGGCTTAATCACTCACGCAGTCACTCTTGCCCACTCCCTCTCATGCATACACTCACCCATACACTCACACACTGAAAAAAGACAGAGACAGAGAGCTGCAATTGAAAGCGCTGTTGCTTTTGGTACAGTTTGAGAAGCATTGCAACAACCGTTTTTCTTTTTCTTCTTTCTCTTCCCCCGCTTTTTTCCACCCACAAACCTTCAAACCGCAATGCAGAACGAGAGAAAGAAAGAGTGATGGATACCCGTGTGGAGCTCGAACTCCGGCCCATGGGCGAAGAGAAACTGAAACCGGAACTGGAACTTGGGGTGCCACAATCGGAACCCAACAGGGAAACCGAATCCGAAGCGGAGCTTGAATTGGAAGAGGGAGAGCCAGAGCAGAAACATTTGCTGACCCCCAATCACGCCTTGGCAACCAGCAGCTCGGTGAACTCCATCCATGACCTGCAGGCCAGCCCCAGGACTCCGACGCCCACGCAGTCACCGCCGACACCGCAATTGAATGCCCAGCCCGGCACCTCCAGACAACTCTTCCGGGAGGCGGCCTTGGGCCACGGAGGCCTGGAGTCGACGGTCCTGCTGCAGCAGGAGCTACAGAGCATCGCGGCCAACCAGACGCCGGCGAACAAGCTGCGCAGCGCCAGCTCCACGCTGGACGCTAGCGTGTCGCGCAATCCCTCGACCACGGGCGGCAAGCAAGAGAAGAAGATCGGCCACAGGCGGGTGGCCGAGGGCGGGGAGGTGACCTATAAGAAGATCCAGTCGAAGCAGATCATGGGCTCCATACAGCTGGGCATCCAGCACACGGTGGGCAGCCTGGCCAGCAAGCCGAAGAGAGACTTGCTGATGAACGACTTCTGGGAGATGGAGACCATCTCGTTCCCGCCTGACGGCTCCTCGATCACGCCGGCGCACCACTACAGCGACTTCCGGTTCAAGGTGTACGCCCCAATCGCCTTCCGCTACTTCCGGGACCTGTTCGGAATCGCGCCCGATGACTTCCTCATGTCCATGTGCGCCTCCCCGCTCGTCGAGCTGTCCAACCCGGGGGCCTCAGGGTCCATCTTCTACCTAACGGACGATGACGAGTTCATCATCAAGACGGTGCAGAAGAAGGAGTGCGAGTTCCTGCAGAAGCTGCTGCCCGGCTACTACATGAATCTCTCCCAGAATCCGCGCACGCTGCTGCCCAAGTTCTTTGGACTCTACTGCTTCCACTACAACTCGAAAAACGTGCGTCTGGTGGCGATGAACAATCTGCTGCCGTCGGACATCAAGATGCACTGCAAGTACGACCTGAAGGGCTCGTCGTTCCGGCGCAAGGCCTCCAAGGCGGAGCGCCAGAAGGCCAGTCCCACTTTCAAGGACCTGGACTTTGCGGAGCACCATCCGAACGGCATCTTCCTCGAGACGGACAAGTACAATGCGCTGATGCGCACCATCCAGCGCGATTGCATGGTCCTGGAGAGCTTCCAGATCATGGACTACTCGCTGCTGGTGGGCATCCACAACCTGGACATCGCGGCCAAGGAGAAGCGCGAGGAACGCATTCGGAATGCGCGGGCCAAGCTGCAGCGCAAGGAGAGTGCCGCGCAGAGCGCCTCCTCCAATGCCCACCTGGACGATGACGCCCCCGAGGCGGACCAGAATCAGCTGCATGCCGTGGCCTCCTACGCCTCCATTCCGGGCACCTCGGGGGCGGCCCTCAATCGGACGCGTAGCATGAACCGCCAGCGTCTGGTGGCCCATTCCACGGCCATGGAGTCGATCACGGCCGACATGGATGTGACATTGGAGGAGGACGAGGATGTGCCGGCCGGCGGCATTCCCGCCCGATCCGAGAACGACGAACGGCTCATCCTGTACATCGGCATCATCGACATTCTGCAGTCGTACCGCCTGGAGAAGAAGCTGGAGCACACATTCAAGAGCATCCTCTACAACGGGGACACGGTGTCGGTGTGTCGGCCCTCCTTCTACGCGAAGCGCTTCCAGGACGCCATGGCCAAGCAGGTGTTCAAGAAGACGCCCACGTTTCCACTGAAACATTCCCCCTCCAAGCGCAAGACATCGGCCAGCCAGCTTCTGCGCACCCCTCAGACGCGCACGCCGGCGCAGAACACTCCCACCGGTGGATCGGGACGGCCGGGCGTCCTTACCATGATGTCGGGCATGTCCACACCCCCGCCAGCTTTCGACGACATATCCGAGGAGGACATCACTGCCGCCTCCACGACAACGCTTCAGAATCGCAGCCACACGAACAACAACCACGGGGAGGAGCATCAGTCGGAGCTGGGTCGCGTCTCTGGTGGCGGTGGCGGAGAGCCAAGCAACACCTACCACACTCAGTACTCGTACGACAGCTCCGGTCGGACAGGCAGCGCCTTGGCTAGCGACTACAGCGACGACGAGTCGACGCGCTCGCCATTGCAGCAGCAGCGCATTAGCCATCGCCTCACCAAGACCAGTGTTCAGGTGACGACGGTGGGCTATGTGGAGGATCAGCAGCTCTCCAACGCAGGCGGCCAGTTGGTTCATGCGGACACAAATGGGAAGGTTGGAGCGATGACCACCACGACCACCACAAAGACGGCAATCCTTCAGACGCCCAGTTTCACGTCTACGCTGGTGCTCAACGATTTGCCGCACTGAAAAAAGAGTGGAGCGGAATTAGATCCGCTGCTTACCGCTGCCTGAGTGTGTGCATCTGTATGTTAGTGTGTGTGCGTGTGTGTGTGTGTGTACCTGTATGTGTATCTTCAATCGATGTTTTCGCGTGCCTTCCACTCTTTTGACTTTGTTGCAAAAATTGTGTGCTTTGGCGCTCGTTTATCTTGATTAAACGAAAACGAATACGTATATTCGATATTAAAATTTATGTGGCGCCTCTCCTAATTGGCACCCCCTCTCCACCTATGCTGCCGCCAGCAAAACACACACACAAACACACACAGACAGACATTGGGGCAGAGGCAACAACAAATGTTTACCGTTCTGCCCATTAAAATGTATAATTATTCTATTTTGCTTTCATTTTGCAATTCTATCTGTTTTTCCATTCTATCCTTTCAATGACTTTTTTGTTTTGTGTGTGGCCTTAACCGAAGTTTGGTTTAAAATTGAGAAACGAAAATTATTTGGGTGCGAAATGGAGTGGGAAATGGATTAGGAAAATGTAGCCAAAACTCAGTTGTTGTCTATGTTTGTGTGGTGCGCGCGTCTGTTTGTTTTTCTGTATTATAAAGTGCGTTTACGTATTCTAAGAGATGCTCATGTGTATATACATATTTAACGAGAATAAATCTATATATTTTACATAACTGAATAACCTGTGTATGTGCCAGAAGCCATTAAACCGGCGACATGGTCGGACCACGGCTCCTGCCCATAAATCACTTAATGACTTTCAATATTGGTATTAAGTATCGTTAATTTTTATCGCCTTGCAGCATTGTTAAGCCTCTTTTGGCCGGTGGCAATTGTGGAGTATTTATTGGGCGAGAGCAGAGGCGATTTATCCCAGACAGGGCTCTGGCAATGGGATGGGATGGGATGGAGATGTATGATGGTACTGGGACTGCCAGACTGGGACTGAAAGAGCCTTGCATTAATTAGCCCATGGACCAAGCACGTTGCTTTTAATTTATATACCCTGCAATGTGGCGGGAAGGATTTGTCACACATTTTTATCATTGTTCTCCCCTTGAAACCACTGTCTCATTAGTTTTTTGCGCACATCCATTAGCTTATTATGTGTGACAACAAAAGTCGATTGACTCGTGTTGTTTCAAAGTGTAAAAAACAATGTAGAGATACCCTATAGCCATGTACGTACAAAGGATTGTAGTTGCGTTCGGGGAAAAATTTCAAAAGGTATCCGATAGTCCATAAAATCCTGATCCTGTCTCATTTATCCCCATTTAAGGGCATAAAAATGCTTTAAAAAATGCGTTAGAATTGTTTTAATTTTAATTTAAAGCCAAAAAAAACGAATTGTACTGTAAATATTAGCTGCTCTTTTTTAGTTGCAATGCACTTTGTGCACTAATTGAATATAATTTTAATTAATTGCTTAATTCATACAATAACCGCACCCTAGGGACAGGCCTGACAGGGGAACGAACAGAGGGAAGTACAGAGCTTAAAAAAATGTATCGACATGCTGTTTGCTTGAAACAAGCACTTTGTCAATATTTGCTATACCAGAGGAGGAAAAGGAAGGCCAGAGAGAAAGGGGAGGTTGGGGCGCATGGCATGCAAAATCAACTCGGCCCACTCATGCATATTACAAATAGTTGAAAATACTCCACGTAGGAGGAACACACTGCCCCCCACGCATTGTGTAATTATGGGCCTGGCCCATAAACAAACATTAATAAATATGTAAGCTGCAAAGTGCAAAAACCACGGAGCAACATAAAACAACATAAAATGAAACCCGAATATTTGACTGTACTCGAGTCGACTCTGGTTCTCTGGGTTGGGTTGTCGCACGAAAATTGTTTTGCAGGATAATTAGTTTATTTCATTTGCATAATAGAAACGGGAGGAGTCAGTGTCCCTGTCCCTGTCCCTGTCCCCGCCACACACAATGCTTGTCCAAAAATCATTTTCATTTACATTTGCATAAACCGTTACACACACACCCACACAGACCACCGCCAGGTGTCGCTCTACAGATTTTGGGGGGAAGGGCTGTGAAATCTACATAAATGCCCACAATTTGTGGCACTCACATCAATTATTTGGAAATTATTGTACAATAATATATACAGAGGAAGAGCGGGCAGGAGGAGAGTCTAGAGTCTAGAGAGTGTCCTGGGCCACATGCCAAATGTCATTTTGATGGCCCTAAATGTGGACTCAACTCTTGGCTGCCGCTTGGCTCTCGCCTTAAACTTATATTTACATAAATATATTTATGTACATTTAAATACGAAATGTTACTCAGGTGGCGGCGGGGTGACTGGGTCTCAGAGCATTTCATTGATTCAAATAATGATTTGTATCGTCGGGGCGGAAATTTAATTTTTTTGCAACGGATATTAAGCCAATGCTCAGGCATGTGTGTGCACTCTCCACCCTGCAACATTGCGAGAGTCCTGTCTGCAGGAAGGAGGCGAATGACCTGACCCCTGGTGGTGTCAAGTCTGCGAATCGAGGCGGCAATTGCATTAAATTTAATGAATTTAAGGCCATTAAATGAATGAGGCCAATTTATTTAATTGATGAACATCACTGATTTCCTCCATCTCCTGTTTGTCCCCTTTTCACAGGCATGTCCTTCCAGCGGAGCTACAGCAAGGTTTGGTGGGGATCCGACAGCCAGGAGCACTCGTCGCTGCCATCGCTCTCCTCCCTAACCAGCGGCGGCTTCTATTCGCAGTACAGCAACAATAACCACAGACAGCCCACATCGCTTCTGGGCAACCTGTCCTGCATCCAGGAGGTGGACGATGAGCAGAACATCTCCAAGATATCGTCGTGGCACAAGCAGGACAGCCCCGGCAGTCTACGCAGTCAGGTGAGCCATGATTCGAAGGAAATTGAAACGAGAGGCATTGATCGAATTATCTAAAAATCGATTTATCGCCACTTCAAGGATACTTCATTCGATATCAAAGGTTTTCCGTATTATTCCCCATGCTAAATGTTGAACTTGTTGCAGGATTCGGGATTCTCGGACAATGAGGAATCCCACCAGCTGGTGCTGCAACAGCAACTGCAAAAGGCGCCGCCAGATGAACAACAAACGCCCACGGCCTCGCCTGGATCCGTCCATTCCGTGGCCACACCGCCCACTGTGGTGCGAAGGGTGGGAAATTCCTCCTTCTACTCGCCGCTGGTCAGCGTTACGCGCCGCATTTCGTTCACCAGTGGACAGAGGACGCCCAAGGCTGCCACAGGAGAGGAGGACGACGTGGATGGGGAGCTAGAGGCCAGCCGCAGTCGCCTGTTTAATCAATTGGACAGCCTGAAGCTGGACGGCGATGCAGAGGAGTCCGCCACACCGCCACGTCCGGCCATTCGACGCCGCAGGCGACTGGCTCGCAAGCCCAAGCCCGAGCCGGAAGAGCTTTCGGCCAGCGAGGAAGATGATGTGAAGGCGCCACTGCCGCCGTACAACAATGAAACCGTGTATCTGGGCGAGGCCCCGCCGCCGTACAACAATGAGACAGTGACCTTTGGCGGCAGCGGCGACCCGGAGGAGACACTGCTCCCCGGCCTGCTCTCCCCGCTGCGCATGCCCGCCGCTGTGCGCTTCACCGCCAGCACGAGCACGCCCAAGACCAGAGGCAAGTCCACAAAGAAGGCGCACAGGGCCCAGCCCGCGCCAGTGGAGAGCTGGATGGAGGAGCAGCGCTGGAACGTGGACCAGGAGGTGATGTGCACGCTCCAGCACAAGTCCATTGCCCAGGAGGCATACAAGAACTTCACCATCACCACCAGCGCCGTCTCCAAGCTGGTCCGCCAGCTGCAGCAGCAGTCGCTGGCCCTGCAGGCGCACTTTGAGCGCAGCGAGCGAGTGCTCAGTGGCATGCAGGCCACCACTCTGAACGAGGCCCTGACCGGAGCAGGACAGCTGCTGGGCCACCTCGACGACTTCGTTGGCACCTTGGAGCGGCGGGCCATCTTCTTCAACGAGGCGCGGGTGGAGCGACGGCGCTACGAGCAGCATCTCGAGCAGATCCGCACGGTGAGCCGGGACACGCGGTACTCGCTGGAGCGCCAGCACTACATCAGTCTGGAGTCGCTGCTGGAGGATGTGCAGCTGCTGAAGCGGCACACCCTGATCACCCTGCGCCTGATCTTCGAGCGCCTGGTGCGCGTCCTCGTGCTGAGCATCGAGCAGAGCCGCTGCGACCTGCTGCTTCGCGCCAACATCAACATGGTGGCCACTCTGATGGGCATCGACTACGAAGGCTTCGCCTCGCTCTCGGACGCCTTTGTCCAAAACGAGGCCGTGCGCACACTGCTCGTCATCGTGCTGGACCACAAGCAGAGCTCTGTGCGCGCCCTCGCCCTGCGTGCACTGGCCACGCTCTGCTGCGTCCCGCAGGCCATCAACCAGCTGGGCGGCTGTGGCGGCATCGAGATCCTGCGAGACATTCTCCAGGTGGAGGCCGCTGGGGAGCGAGGCGCCATTGAGCGTCGCGAGGCAGTCTCTCTGCTGGCCCAAATCACGGCCGCCTGGCACGGACCCGAGCACCGGGTGCCCGGCCTGAGGGACTGCGCCGAGTCCCTAGTCGCCGGCCTGGCCGACCTCCTGCAGCCCGACTGCTGTGCCCAGACCCTGCTGCTGTGCGCTGCGGCCTTGAACAACCTGAGCCGCATGGAGGTCACCTCCCACTACTCCATCATGTCCAACGAGGCCATCTTCCGGCTGATAGCCACACTCGAGCACCAGAGCTGCGGCATCAGTGTGTTCCTCTATGTAAGTAGCAAAACATTTTCCTTTTCCCATTTCCCCATTTGTCATTCCCGAAGAAAAGGGAGTGCCTCGCCCGATAGGGGAGTTCGATGTGCTGCAGCCCCGTTTGATTTTTGAGCAATTTTATTGAAAGCATCCTGGCGGGGGCAGCAGGCTCGTAAAATTTATTTGTGCATTTGCAAAACGATTTCTTTGCCCCAGCTTGGCCACGATTCTTCATAGCCCCGCCCCACCCGTCCAGCCGCCTTACACTCGATTCTCCCTTCGCCATCTTCCATACTTTCTTGCTGCTTGAGTCGCTTATTTTTTGCTCATCAACATCTCTCCCGTCTTCTTTTTATATCGTTATACACAGGAGCAAATCGTTGGGATGCTGCATAACATGTCGCTGAACAAGAAGTGCCACAGCCACTTGGCCAACGGCACCATCATAAATTTCATCACGTCCGTTTACCAAACGGAATTCTACAAGACCTACGGATCACGTGCCGAATGCGATGCCCAGCGCCGCAGCATCAAGACCATTCTGCACACCCTGACGCGTCTGGCCCACGACTCGCCCACCCTTGGCGCCGAGCTGCTGGAGCAGTGGCATCTGCCCGATTTGCTGCGTCAATCTCTGGCTCTGCCAAAATCCTCCGCCTCTGGCTGCGGCTCCGGCTCCGGCTCCGGCTCAGGCACCCCTGCCGTCACTTCTGCTGGTCAGTTGGATGGCAGCTTTGCGGGGGATATATCGCAATTGGCGCGACATTTGCTCAAGGCACATCAGCAGGAGCAGATGCTGTTGGTCAGCGAGGCGACAGTTTCAGCCACGGCCACAGGAACCTTCAGTAGTGGGAATCAAACGCCCGAGGCACAGACCAGCGCCAGCTCCAGCTCCAGCTCCAACTCCA